GCATGTTTTAAGGTCTCTGGTATATAACAGTTATCCATCCATCATACAGCAGCAGCAATCTCATCTTGGTAGTAGCCTGTAACCAAACACATCACTCTTCAAAGATACTGCATTAAGAAGGAAAGTAAGTAAACACATCATTGTTCATACTGTCTAAAGTTCAGTGGTCCTTCCAGTCTGTTGCTAGTTCAAGTTGTTCAAGCGGACACAAATAGCCCTTAAAGTGCCACAGTATCATATGGTTGGTAGCCTCTGATTACTTTACTTTACTTTACTTACTTGGCTTTAAAGGAGCGATAAGAAACACAGAGAAGCAATCCAGTTCCGTTGAATAAGGGAAACAATGTCTACTTGTGCCATTGGATTTCAAAATAAGAACACAAAAAAACTAGACCACCAATGTTATAGAATACCGTCGTCTAACATGCCCTGTGAAGCAAAGCGCAGACATTTATGGTTGTAAGCCATTGAACTAACAGACCTGACTGACGCAGACTGTTCGTGCTACATGGCTGCAGCACAACCCTAACAGGCAATTATTAGCCTACATTAGAGCATTAATTAAATGCAACAATTCTTATTGGGGCACCAGTGACCGAGTGGTAGGTTTGCTCGCCCAATGTACGCCCAAACTACAATGTAGTTTTTGAGGCGGACAGCCCGGGTTCAGATCCAACCTGAGGCTCCTCTCCCCGTCTGTCGTTCCACACTCTCTCTGTCCCTGTTTCCCAACTCTGTCCATAAATGTCCTATCTCTACAATTACGGCATAAAAAGTCAGAAATACATCTTAAAAACATAGATTCGCCTATGTCTGCTGTAATTGTCAGTTTCTATTTCTATTTAACAGAGTTAGACTACTGTGTGTGAGTCATTTCCTAAAAACTTAACCAGGAACAAAGACCATATCCTATATACATTGCATCTGTTGAACTTTAATTAAATGTAACAGTGCCTACATGTATTGTCCCTGAAAAATAAACTGACAACTCTATAAATAGATACATGAATAAATCAAAATAATATTCACATATGTGATTCATAGAGAGAAAACGGTATTAGCCCTACAGTTAAACAATGATATAATAGGCGTATTACTAAAAGTAATATAACCAGATAGATAGTAGTAGCAGCAGCAGTATTTACACGATTTACATTATTCTAATATATATTGAACAATTAAATAACTGAGTTTTGTGTACAAACCCAAAATGGTCTACCCTTAATCCATCATTTACAGCTTTCTTTACTGTTAACAATATTAAAAGTCATGGTGGAATGATGTCATCATTTTGGTAACCTAAAGCCTGAGTAAAGCTGTTTCTCATTAGTTCTGCTTACACGGCAGGTCCATACAACAGCAGAGTGTCTCAGAGTGTTGAGAGATGACAGTCGCCTGTGCTGCAGACTAATAAACCTCAAACTGAAATCCTCAGCAGTTACAGTGTGTCTGTCAAACAAATTCTAGAGCGGCACAAGTAACAGTACGAGGCTGTTGGGTACAAAACTAAAAGAGCAGCTACAATCATCCAACTCTTATTTTATTTTTTAACCAACTGTGAGGAGCTTTAACTGGTTTTAAAAAAAAAGGCTGATTCCTCGACCTACAAAAACAAACAAGACCATCAGATGTAAGATGATTTGTGTGATAGTTAGTGTATTTATAATGATTGCCATCAGGTAAACATTTACAAAGTAGACATTTACAGCATGCTGACAAGAAAGGCCTTTGCTTACAATTCTGATGGAAACAAAATCACATTGAGTGAATCGTTTTGTTATTATGAGGAAGTACCCTAGGAAGAGTTTTTATCTCAGACAGGACTAACACATGTCCAAGACAAGATTCACAGAGGGCTGAGTTGAAATGCTGAGTTTGAAGGTATCGCCAAAAAAATCAACACAAACCAAAAGTTTCTCACAGTAGCTTTTGGAACAGGCAGATATTAACAGTTATTTCTGTGATTCTGTGTATTATATCCAGTGGCAGAGAGAAAAGGTAAACCTCTTTTATTTGTTTTGGGTTTTTTTTCCCCTGTTTTTCCTTTAAAGGTCACATACAGTACTAGCCTTCTTTTCAACAAGTTTAAAAAAGTCAAGAGCTCCCCAGAACATGTCTGTGAAGTTTCTCTGATCCTGTATTTGATCATGTCTATAAACCCCTCTATTTCAGCCCTGCTCAGAACAGGCTGTTTCTGTGTCTGTAGCTTTAAAGTGAGCTGTGTTTGACCACGCCCCTCTCTGGAAGGGGATGTTTACAGTAAGTAGACAGACTCAGAGGGCAGAACAAACACCTAGCTGTGGGAGTGTCACCCACCTGGGGAAGGGGTTACCTTTGTGATGTCACAAAGGGAAATCTCCAAATGGTTGGGGGGTAGACAGGGTAGGGACACATATTAGTGTTCGAAAAACATGGTAAAGTGTATTTTGCATAATGACCTATAACGACTTTAAAAACAAGTGCTGTACCATAAAGTTTGTGACCATGGGGCACATTTTTTTAAACTCGCTTGTCTATGAGGAAACAGAGAAATGTGGGTAAAGTTCACAGATGAAGTATGAAAAACAAAACAGTCTGAAACTATTTTGATTGGGAGGCCTATGGGTTGCATCCAAGTGGGTCTGGCTGAAGACCTTAACTGTGTGGTTTGTGCAGACTTGACCTTAGAGTGGTGCTTATACAGTACTTACAGAATAGGCCAAGGAGGAAGTGGTCAATATTCCAACTTGGACTTAACATTCATTGATGGACGTTTGATATACGTTTCTTGTAGGACATGAGCCTTACATAATCTCTAGTGATTCCTATTTACCAAAGTCTATCATTAAATCCTTTTTTTTTGTCTTCAGGCGAGTGTAGCTATGCATTACTTTAACCACACAGGACATGTTAGACTGTGTTTACTATGCATTGTTTTTCTATGGACGGAGATGGAGACAGAACAAGCACAGACAAACTCAAGGAATTCAGCTCTAACAATAGGTTGTGTTTGGCTGGTTTACTGGTGACATCACTTGTTTCTTTTTAAGGGAGTGTCTGTAGAGCCTGCTGTTTTGTGCTCAGACAGGAAATGAGCGCCATGGTGTTTGAGAAAGCCTTTATTCACCCCCTTCCCTTAAAATATGGATTTTTTTCAACCTTTCTCTCCTCTTCTTGACTCGCCCTTTATACTCCCTTTTCAGCAATACGACCCACTTCAAAAACGTAAACTGTATTTACCTAACAGATCACATTTTATTACTAATGAACCACTTCCCCCAAACCATCTCAGTCCTCTACAGATCTGCGTCTTTATGTTCAAGTTTTCTTCGTGGGTGAGACATTTTCATTCGACCTCTGGGGTTTCTTTTGTGCCATGCACACACTGAGCTTCCTCTCTCTTTTCCCTTCCAAAATAATTGGGAGGTAGTAAGTAAACTAAACATAACATTTAAATCTCCCCCTCTCTTATTACAACGCCTCCACCACCTCAAGAGTAGCTGACACCCATCCCGGCTGCTAACAGCTGCGCCCCTCTCATGTCTCCACTTTACGACAACATGGAGGGGAATTATGATTATACGCTGGGGAATCCAGGTTTAGGTTACAGTAAAGATATTATTTCATGTGATGATTAACATTGACAGCATTAGAGCTTGGAGATCACTTTTGTTGAAACTCTTTCCGGAGAGTTCAGAGCTCTAAGAGCAAATGCTTTAACCAATCAATTTGAGTCCAAATATTTCCTTCAGTGGTTAACGTTTAACTGTAGGAGCCAATTTACTGTGTGTGTATTTATGTATTGCATTTCAATGGTTTTGGTTTATATGTTTATTTACTTCATTTGGACACTAGGTATTGATAATTGATAATTGATAATTGGGGTAATTGGGCGGTATGGTTGAATGTTTATTGGTCACGGGTGAACAGGAAATGGTGGCATAGGTGATGGGAACATAAGGTTCTTACCGTTTCGCAATGTAACGTAGAATAACGTTAATGAAAGACAACAAATAATGTATAATCTAGGAAACAAGAATTCACCATATATTCATCATGGTTTGCCTGCTTCAGATGTTAAATAGGAACTTCTAGGAAGTTATTTCATTCATAGACCTTTCCATACACCTATGGCAGTGAATAAAAGCACAATTAGAAATTTGGACATTACAGTCACTACATTAACCATACTGTATTTTCCTGAAAGTTAATGGCCATGCCAATGGTAGATACCAGAGCCAAGGCACAGAACTTTAAAAACAAGCACAGCATATATGAGCCTTCTTTGACCACGAAAAGAGCCAGCTCGCTGCTTCATTAACTTCAGATCAGATTGATGTCAAGTGAAAAAAAGAAAAAGGTAGATGGCATTTTCTGCCAAAAAAAAACAATCATATATTTTCTTTAATTCTAAAACAATCCACAACTTGGCAGCCGATTTTAAGACCTCGTGGGTGCAATATGGCTAATTTCATTTGTGGCAGAGGACAAGACAAATAAACGATGGGTGATGATAGGCAATGGGCATTAAAACTGCCTGAAATGACAACATAAGCTATTTTTTAGCATATACCTTCAGAATATTATGGGTACCATTTTTACCATAGTTGAGCATATTTGTATTGAAATTAGCTAATTAGCAGCAAACACAAAGAGTACTTGGGTATTTATTAAGTTAACCCAAAATGAAACAATATTCTCCCTTTTTTCTTTGCATAACCAGGAAAAAATAATAAGAACTGATTAGGGCACATTGTCTTGGTATGTTTGAACATTTGTGATAGTCCTTCCAGTAGATATTCAGGTATACTCCACAAGATGTGAAGATAACTTAAATGATAACCAAAGTCACAGTGGTTGATCCTTTCAGGGAAATACATTTCTCTTTAAATTATCATGAAAGTCCAGCCCATAGTTGTAAAGATGTTTCAGTTTCAAGCAAAGTTGTGGTCTGATGGATGAACCAACATCAACACCCAAAAAGCAAACACAAAGGAAAAACTTATTTAGGCACATGCTGCTCAAATCCACTTTCGTATTTATTTCACTTACTGATACAAAAAACTGTACAAAAGAAGAAAATGAACAACAAATGTTGGAATGTTGATGAATGCAGAGGTCAGTGGTGGGGAGAGAGAGGGAGAGAGAGAGCAGGGAGCAGTGAGCACAATTCAAACACATGGTTCGAGTTAGCAGACTCCCATTAAGGACAACGTGGTCTGGAAGAAACTTTACATTTCACAGTTTAAGGGCATTTTAAATACACTTCTGCCTGCCACTGAAAGGTCACTGTCAGGCATTTTATACGTGAATAATACACACAACTGTACAACTGAAAGACACAGAGAACAACAATGGAACATTGAACTGCTAAAAATGGAGGCTGATGGTGGTTAAGATTGAAATGAACCACCAGCTAAATATAAGGTGTCTTACACTGTACATGTGACACAGCTAAAAACCTCTGTCCTACTTTCTTTGTTGTGATTTTTCAAGTGGCACATGTGCTTTGGCCGGCAACCATATTGGAAGTAAGCAGTTGTTCTACAAGTTAACTGCTTCAGGCTACAAACAAGAAATTAGACTTTCTTGACATTTTTAAAACAGATACTGAATCCTTCTTTGACTTTGTAACTGGAGATAAACCATACTCATCATCAAAATCATATGCATGGATCCTACTGTATGCATTTTATGTCGATTAGCAGTTAGCGGAGTCATTATAGTGTCTATATATATTTTTTTGTTGTTCATTACATAACTAAATACACCTACCACAGATTAGGTAATGGTTTAATGGTTCACAGAAGAGTGAAATAATTTAACTGAAGTCACTCAATTTTCTCTCTAGTTCTATGTTAGCAGACAGATAGGCCTAGCTATGTTAGTTAACACTGCAACAGGCGAACCTTTGAAATATACACTATTGAAAGGCTAACTCTCAGCGGTGTGAAGGATCAAAGTATTGAGAAGAACATTTTCTGTACTTATACTCTACAGAAGTATTTTGTTTTTCTCCTATTTCATGTGCTCGATTTAATTCCAGAAGAAGCACTACTTTTTTATCTTTTATTTCTGAAGAGAGAAGTTACTAATCAGGTGAAAGTTAAAGTTGTCTCAGATGACCATGAAATATTGATCGTTGATACTATAAAAAAAAATGCAAAAAATACAAATGAAGGCATAAAAAGCTGAAGATTATAGTAAAATAAGAAAAGATATTTTAGTTTCAGTGCTTTGGATTTACTCTCCCAGTAATCAGTTCAGTATGGAGAGAGAGTTGGAGTGACTACAATTGAACATTAAGTATACTTACACATTGATGCGTTAGTTACAGTTACTAATAGTTTAAGAATTAAATACACAAAAAATAAACACTCACAGGGTTTTATAATGTTATTGTGCAAGTATTATAACTTTAAATGCAACTCTGCTTGTACTGACCATACCTAATTATGACTCAGGATGCCAGATTATTACTTGTGATGAAGATCATCTGGTTGTTGTTGTTGTTTAATGTTGTAATAGTACTTAGTTTAAGACCTTAGTGCTTCTTCCAGCACTGATCTGACCTCACTGGTAACGCCACATGAGATATTGGGAGTCTGTGGGAAGGGAGGGATCCGGTGCCTTTTTGTCTGGGTTTCAAGTTCACTGTTTTATAAAAACTCTGCTTTGCTTTTCCATGCCTGAATCCAGAGGATCACTGAATGGAAAAAGAAGCCTAAGCACTTTCACACTGGGACTCATGGAAAGTGAGAAAGCATGTGGGACTTCAGCTGATCTTATCTTAAACTACGAAATCACCACAATCCTTACATTAAGGTGAAAAGGTCCAAACAGCTTTCAGTTTGTCCCAGGGCACGGTGTAGGTCTCACAACAGTGGATGTGCCTTTATGTGTTTAAACTTAGAAGAGTGTTTACCCTACATGTAACTCCACTCTCGTGTATGTTTGTGTTCGTGTGTGTGTGGCGCTAACAGCCTGTTAAGTTGATGTTGGCACCAGATGAAAGGTCTCGCATACTTGCCTGTGGGGGAAGGTCGAGGGGCTAATCGCTACCTTAATATCAACTCTGTGGAGTTGTGGTCATTATGAAGTGTCACATCAAAACAAACTGGACGCAGATGTCGTCAGGCAGATAATGCTGGGAACATGCCAGGAGTAAATCTGACTTTGAAATTGTGATGATCTACACCCATTAGAACGGAAGACTTTCATTTAGTTTGTCTTGCCTTCATAAATCTGATTCTCTAAAATGGTTTTTCAAGTCGCTCAAGGAACTTCAAAGATCTCATAGAATGCCCCACATTACTGCCCCCCCGTCATCCAAACAGGCTTTGATTTTTTTAATTTACTAAAATGCCACAGTCCAGAAATTCTTTTTTCCCCTAAATTTGGAGAAAATTAAAACCATTCCCAATGACATACTGTCTGAAAATAGATCAGGTTTAAAGCTAAAGCTCAGAGGCAGTAATCTTATCCTGAAAGAATCTGAGAAATTGGTAGCTAGAATGGTTTTCTCCAATGTTGAAAAATAAATAAATCCACAAGCGTCCTTACTTGCATGTTCTAACTGTTTTTGTTTTTTCCACTCACGTACGAATACGTACAAAACAACATTTTAATGTGATCATTGGTGGTTTTGGATGGGGGCCAGTGCCCCTGTAACACTGAGCTTGGTCCCCCTGTGCCCCCCACCCTCCAAAAGGAAGAGCCCCCCTTATAACACAGACATAGTATTTGACGTAACCTCCTGATTCACAATCTGGTTATAAATACAGTCACTGAAACAAATAGAAATCATGATATTTTTATGTAGTGGTATTTAATGATGTGCGGTATTATTTGGCATAATATTTTTTTTTTGTTAATGCATGATCATCTTTGTCTATTTTTTTCAGTAAAAGTGGTCTAGAACCGCCAATGAATGTGATGTTTTATTTTATGGCTAATAATTGCCATTTGTCATGTTATGGTTTCAAAATACCTTCCCCTTGCTGGTTTGCAGATTAGCTAGCTAGCTAGCTAGAACAATGCTATCTTGTTCTTCCATTGTTTCTGATAAATTGGCTAATCTGCTCCGTCTTAAAGCTCCATACCTAACGCACAGAACAGCTTGTTTTGACTAAACCTGGAACTCAAAGCAGTATTTTTTCTCATAAGATGGTAGCAAATCTGACCTAACATATGAGTACACTTGACTCTAAATAGGTGCTATGAACATGAACCAAAGAGATTGAGTTGCAAATATTGGATGAAAACTGTTTTCGATCAGAGGAGAAGGCTCAGATTAACTGAATAATCAAATCTCACATCTCCCTCCTACTCTGACGGACTAACTTGGTTTAGATCAGCTCTGTTGACTCCTATTTCATTCCAAGTTGAAGCTACACAGGATTTCAGCATGGTTAAAAAAAGAGAAATACTCTAGTATACAAAATATCTCCTTTTGCACCTTGGTCATATTGAAGGTAGGTATAAAAAACATCAAATCATACGCTTTCATAATTGTAAGACAATACATATTTTGCTATTCACAAACTATTTGAATACAAAATGACACAGACTATAAATAGACAGTACTTTTTTACACAAGGCACAGTTTCTAGTGGTGTGTTTGTTCCTTTCATAGCGGCTGCTCCTCGAACAGTATCTGAGCATACACAGTGCCGCTACATGATGCCTTGGTTTCTGGAATTGGCCTCACCAGATCCAGCTCGGCGTAGGTCAGATTCTCCTCCACAATCTTTGGCTGGAGATGGGGAGAGAAAGGAAGAAAAAAAGGCATGGTAAAAAACATGATTCTTAAGAGAAAGAATAAGTATTTGTAGTGGTATCAGTGGTTAGAAAAGTATCAAGAAAGTTGTGGAAGATTCCTGCCACACTCTACATAGCTAAATGTTCTTCTCAGATTAGATGTCACTTCAGTGGATGTGCCCTTACAAGACTCTTGGGTTGAGGTTGCCAAACTTTAAGCTGCAATCAGTTGCATTTTTCATTGCAGCTTGTAAACACATCTTTCAAATTGGGGCCCTCCTCCTGGGCTCATCACCCCCAGAATCGCACAATCACTGAAGGATGTATGTACGGTTACTGTTTGTACCTACACTGCAAGCTACAGCATGCTAGCACAAGCTAGCCACCAGTGTTTGGCGCCTGCCTGTCCAACAGAAAGCCGGCATACTCCCCAGTCCCCGTCGGAGGGTGTAAGCGAACCCAAAGTTCGTCCTGCTTTTGGAACTGGCTTTATCCACATTGCCTCATTGTTGTCATTGTTTCACCTCCCTACGTATGTTGTCATATTAGCCCGTTTAAATTATGGCTAATCGCTGAATTGAATCCACCCCTAAGCTTCCTTGCACACTGTCATTGGCTGGGGGAAACACACCAGCATCTTGCCCACAAACATCAAAATACATGCAGAGGATAGGATCTCTGCAGACACAGTCACCACCACACATCTATGGAGGGCCATAACTGATGATTAAGCGGCATTACTTTTGTAGAAGTCTGTATTTTATTATTTTGGAAAAAGCTACTGACTCTACCTTTAAATTACCTCTTGTAGCTTTGTGTGCTAATCGTTACAAGCTGCAACAAAGCAACTTCATTCAAGTGACAATGACAAAATTAAACCTGGGTTAGGTGGCACATTTTGTGACATTTTCTTGTACTTTTTTTACAGGTATATGACTGGCCGTATCTATTCCTTTCTGGGTATGTGACGTTTAATGCAAGAGGAAATTCATTGCATTGTTAGAATTAGTACTGACATGATTCCTAATTATTTTGCAACAATAAACAACAATAACTTAATTAATCAAGATGCAAAAGGGTGTCATTTTGAACTCACCAACACAACTTTCCTCGGTTGTGGTTTTAAAAGTTTGGGTTTCCGTGTTTTCTCTCCAATCGGAGCTGCAGGGACAGAAAAAAAGAACTTGTTACCTTGTTTCTATTGCTCACATTTTCCTGCTTTTTAAAACATGAGCAGCTTGTAAGTTGTTTTTAATACAGAAAGTTTACATTTATGTTCAAAATGCTTGATTACTGTAGGACAAAGCTGTGGGTGTGAATTCTTGTCTACCTTTTGCTGGTATCTCTGGTGGTATCTCCTCTTGGTAGTCTCTGCTCCGTTTCTTCCTGTACCTCCTTTCTTTTTTAGGCAGGGCAGGAGACATATTGACTAAGCTTGTGACAGTCTCCCCTGAGCTGGATTTAGACAGAATTACCAAAGGTTAAGCGTACGTAAGAACAAGTTTGGCAATGCAATAAGCTGTGAATCACTGTATAAAATCTTACCTGTTCTGGGGGCTTTTGACCAAGTGATAATTGTCTGCAGAGATATAAAGGATGTTGGAATAAATTCATAACGTTTCAGCCAAAGATTATTGTATTTTGGTAAAATGCAAACTTCTACTCTACATGAAATTGACTTAATTTAGAGTTTTGGAAACAAAATACTTGGTAGAGACAACAGAGAGACGAAAGAAAGAAGATAACAGAAAACATGAAGACATTAAAATTACATTAATCAAAGGTCAGATGAGAGTTATCTCAAGGTTGCTGCTAACCTTTTAACCTCTGCTTCCTCTGTATGTACTGGCAGGTTACTGTCACCGTAAACATGCACATACACAGCAGACCCACTGAGCAGATCAGCACTGCACACAGGTACACATCTGAAACACAAATACATTTGCACACACTTTGGTCAAAACAGTACCTCAGCCCTGTGCCTGTTGCTTCACTCTTCACACATTTTTGAAGGAAAAAAGATGTGCATGTTTTGCAGAGCTATTTAAGGCACTGAGCGATATCCTTTGGTTTGGGCTATATTTGCTCTCCAACTACGATGCATTGCTGTTTCACCACAAAACACACACACACACACACACACACTCTTACCATTCTAAAAATAGGCTGACTTACCTTCAAACAAGCTCCACAGGCTTTCTTTGGCCTTGGTGGAGGGTAGGACGTGCACTACATGAAGAAAGAGAAAGAGAGAGAGAGAGGAAAATAAGTTTTGTAAAGTCCGTAGTCATCACTGTGGCTTCCTTGCCGCCTGATTACATGCTAGCTAAAGTTTAAATAAAGCTAATTGTAGGAAGACAACTAGCTGAGGTTAGCCTCCTCCCTGCCTGTTTCTGACTCACTGTCCAGAGGTCTCAACCTTAACCTTTACCGAACGAAAAAAGGTCAAATATCTCATTAACTCTAAGCCATTAGCGGAAACAGTTTGGTTAAGGTTATACACCGTCCTGAACTTTTACCACACATCCACCCGTGTGCTGGTCAATAAACACTCTTTCAGTCTGCATAATAAAACTTTCTTGGTAAAACAAGACAACCTTAGCCCTTTCTGACATAGCTCTTCTTTTGAATGTATGTTTTTTTTGTGACAGAAACATGAAGAAACATTTCCCTGTTTGCTAACAGGGTGAATTCATGCACATCAACTGAAACAGATGCCACAGTGTTTGCAGCAACAGCCACTTTGCTAACATTGGGGGAAGTATAGCAAGCCTGATTGACAAAAGTGAGGATGCCCTTAACTGTGAAGCTGAAGTTGTTGTTACAATGGTTTAGCATTTCAATCAAGCACAACACTTACAGTTTTCAAACCACATACAGCACGCAAGATCATGTTTCATTTGCTCTGGCAGATACTTTTGTAATAGTGGGGTGATTTTGATTCACTGCCTGACTGTGGAGTGCTATTGAGGTTATTATGTTAACAACTATCAGCTTCCACTGATGTGGAACATTTGGAATTGCAATCACATCATTACTTTATGAACTGGATGGTACTTCACAGTTCTTTGGTGGAAGGGGGGGGGGGGGGCAGTATTGGCTTATAACTCAAACTATCAAAGTATCTGGTTAGTAAAGTATCTGGTTAGTATTAGTATCTGGATCTTTAAAAATTGGATACAGAGCCCATTGGTGTACTACATCTCACATTTTGTTTAATACAACAAGAAGCATCAGTTTTAATTAGAGTCTTTTAAAAGTCACGTATTATTCTGAAGTCTCAGAGCACCTAAAAACATGACCGTGAACTTCCTTGTTAAAAATCCTCTCTGATCCTGTATTTAATCATGCCTATAAACCCCTCTATTTCAGCCCTGCTCAGAACAGGCTGTTTCTGTGTCTGTAGCTTTAAATGCAGGTGAGCTATGTTCAACCACGCCCCTCTACTGTAGAAGGGCTTGGATGAGAAGACAGACTCAGAGGGCAGAACAAACACCTAGCTGTGGGAGTGTCACCCACCTGGGGGAGGGGTTACTGCCCTTTATGATGTCACAAAGTGAAACAGCCTGTTTGAACACACATATTCTGAAAAGTAGAGCAGGCAACAGACAGAGAGGATGGACATAACTGGGGGGTTTGTAGACAGATTGAAAACTATGGTAAAGTGGTTCCACACTGAAACGCATTTGCTTATGTGTCTGGCAAAACTGGGCTAAAACCATCAACATTTAGAGTTTCAGAGTTAACATTGACAGAGTTGGTGACTTTCATTCATAAATGTATTTTTTTTTACGGTGGTCCTTTTTTAAATTGAATTTGGAGGAAGACAAAATAAGAGCTTCTCTTTTCCTGTCGGTGCCAGTGGATGTAGCCACTATAAGTAATTGTTTCTGCATGGCAGATTTTATGTAACTGGCTAGCTAATTTACATGAGCTCAATGATTTGGCAGGACTTTCTCTGGTTACCTACGTATTTCTGGCTCAAATAAAAGCCCATTAAACAGCTTTACACATTGGCAATGCTCAGTTATGGTCAAATTGTCTTTTCAGTGTTAGATAACTGTTTCACTCCAATCCAATCCAATCTGAGCACCAACATGGAGTCAGAAGTGTCAATGCAGACTTGATCTGTTTGATGAGAATCCCAGCTATGTGCTGCTTGAGTCCTAAATGGCTGAGAGAAAATATATTTCCCATACTCAACCTGAAATCTCGTCCCACACACTCAATCATCTCTCCACCCCATCTGACCACAGTAGTCTTAACACTGCTGTTCTCCTGCTGAGCTGGTGGTAGGAAGCTCGTGAAGTGACACCCACCAAGGCGTCTTGAAATACCCCAAACCACCAGCAGCTGACGACAGGCAGGCTGGCCATGCTGGCTGGAGACTTTCCCACAGGCAGACTGGCTGTCATGCGAGCTCACTAACTGACAAAGTTTTCTGTAAAATATGAATCCATAACATATCTGAACAGTAAGAGCTATTGCATGGATTCTCCTGCAATGACAAGGATTTAATTTTTTTCATGCAAAACTACTTAAGACAACATTCTGTGCATAAAAAAGATCAAATAAAAAAACAAAACAAACCTATCAAGCAATTTCAAACCAGAAACTTCCTCCTATTGCTGCTAAAGCTATTCTTTTAGCATCACTTAAACAAATGTGCGCTAGGAAGACGCAATTCCTCCTTCAAGGTGAATACATATGCTGTTGGTTTTTGGGGGAAACTGACATTGAAATAATTGAATGCAGACTGAGAAAAAACACTTCCCAAGCACAACTATCAACGGGAGAAAAAATACAATTTCAACCGGTGTCATAAAACTGTGGGACAGCATGAGCATGAATTAAACTGCCAGAAATTACATAGATGGAATGGATGTTTACTGCAAAGCCTGCAGTCCTGTGAAAACTCACAAGTAGATGAAAAAATGCTGCATCATGTTTACACTTCAACACAACTCATTATTTTGTTATAGAACTGCATTTATAGAAAAACTTATTGTCGATAAAAAGCCAGTTATAGAAGGTTAACCTTTATACATTAAATAGGATGAACGTACGTCCCCATTTGACCGGGACCGTCTCTTTTTCAAGCTCTGTGTCCTGAGTCTCAACAAATATCTATAACCGTAATATGTCCAGGTTTTGAACAGCCCATGTCCCAGTTTCAACAAGCCAAAACAATACACTGTGCTTACAACACTGATTTTTCTCTATATACAGTATATTAATCAATGTCGTTGCCAAGAGTTGCCAAGGCTGTTGCTGTTCTAACCAATAGAAAAACACCACAGATGCACCGTGAATCTAGCTTATCTAGGCTAGCCTAGCTTATCATCCTAACAGGACCTGCTGCGTAATAACAGGTAACTACAGGTAGGCTTGCTGTCATAGTGAAAAGGAAGTCAGCGGTTTCCAAAGAGCTCCAGGAAAGTTACAGCTTCTTTCAAAAAGTACCAGCCTATAGAGATGCTGCATTTTGCACACTGCAAGTGTCCATATTCAGTCGCTCTTGGTTGAAATGCCAACAAACAAAGCCATATTAAAACACAAAAAGTGGTTCAGGCTGAAAGTATCTCTGTTACAATCTACTTTAGTGAAGCAAACGCTGCTGACAACCAATTTAAACAGGCTGCTCAGAAAGAAACTTTTACCTACCACCTTGTATGACCAGTGCAGGTCACAAATCTGTGGATCGACATGTGGGTTTGCGGTAATGTTAAAGTGCCCCCGACTTGGAGGTTTGAAAATATGGTCACTCTAACTCCAAAGCCAAAAGCAAAAAGCACCTACCAGTTCACTTCATAGAGAACTACATGGTGGTGTACAGTATGCTGTCAATAACCCAGTTAAGGTGATTTCTACCTTGGCTTTACACTTTCTATAAAATACTTTTATAGACCTAACAGGTTTCAGACTGTGCTCAGTGGGGAATATTCCTTTGGATACGGTCCCTAATCCTTCGTCGACCATATGTGACCTACATTCTAGGAAACCTTTATTGTCAAGGGGGGAGATAGAAAGAAAGAAACGAACTTGGCTGAGGATTGTTCAATTTCTTGTCAAATATTTACCTTTTAAATATGAGATGGTTTGCAGATAAAATGGTTTAGGATTGAGTTGAGACAAAGCCTATGCTTCATGATTAACATGTGCATGATGAAAACACTGAATATCAGAATTGCTATGTCAACTTCATGATTGATCCTTTCCATGAATCAAACAGGAGCAAAATGAAGCAAAATGCAAAGAAAATTTTATGAAAGGACTTAAATATAAAAAATCAAGCAGACCTTAGAATCGACTTCTTTATAGGTGTAGATTATTTTTACTAGTTTGGCTTAAGTTTGACTTAAATAGCTCTGTAAACTGCTGAAGTAGTAGTTGAGATTGAACAGGTGTGAAAAGGAAATGCACACTTAAGTTAATATACATCCCTGCTGATAAAGCTAGCTAGCCTAGCTAGCGAGATTCGACATTAGCATGACTGTTTTTTTCAAGAATTGAAATATAAAACTAACAACAAAGCCTATTAACTTTACAAAGTTACTCAGTGTTTTTTTCTGAACACAAAAAATAATCAAAGGCAAAATGAAAAAGTTAACACTTGGAGTATTGTTCTCTAAGGCCCCTGTGTTCACTTAACGTTTTTTCCAGGCAGAGAAGCGCTGGCTGTGAGCTCGGAAGCGCTTGCATGAAGCGTTCATGCGCTGAGAAAAATAGCGCTGCACGCCCGTCCTGTCTCTATGACAACAGTCTTTTGAGAACGGCTGCTGTATGACTGACACTGCTCCGTTACTTTACTGTATGTTTTATACTCAAGATTATTTCTACCCCAGCAGACATGGAGCAAAGAGGATGTGGGTACAAGACATAATCCATAGGAGGCACAAATATGGGGAATATCATGCAGTATATTTGGAAAATAGATTTTTTTTTTTACAGGTGACTGCCTGCTGCTGCAAACACTCTCACCTGATTGGAAACAATTGAAAAAATATGCTGGTTCTCAGAAAAAAAATGCTAGGTGGACAAGTGTTTTGTTCTTGGTTTTATTGTTATGGTTAACATTTTTCTTCATATAATAAATGTAGTGATTTGCAAAAAAATGAGTGGGCATATTTCTATTGACATATTATCTATTATTATTGTGATGTTTCCTTATTATGTGATGATTTAAAAATAAAACCAGTGTATCTCAAATCATCAGTGTCAGGAAATCC